AAGGAGCTTTCAGGGATGATGTGCTTTATGTGTTCGAATACCTTTTTTCAGGGATGAATCCCAAACCATGATAAAGCAATCATTTGCAGGGATAATCTGGAATTGGTTTGAGGGATATGGTTTCAGGGAATTACAGTTTCAGGGTTGACTTTTTTCAGGAATTCATAAGTTTCAAAGTTTTGCAAATTTTCAGGGGCGGATTTTGCCGGTCCCGGGGCGGATCTTTGCGTCCCAGGGGCGGATTTTGCCGGTCGATGATTTGCAGGGTTGGTAAACCTGAAAATCATCATTTTGTGGTGAAACATACAAGCCTGAAAATGTATGTGTGGGAGAGGACATCGACCCTTCTTTGGAGTGAACATTGATCTTGAACACAGATCTTTGGTGTGGAGCTTGCTTCAGGGTTTGTGTTGGATGTTATAGCCATTTTCAGGATTGTCCAGAGACATGACAGAGCCTTTGCCTTCACGGGTGTTCTCGTCGGAGACCCTCCTTGAGGGACTGGGTGTGGTCGAAATGGCAGAGGGGCCAGCGTTGCTTGACGTCTCAGATGCTGCAGTTTTAGAAGAATTGCAGAAACTTGAGGAAGGGTGAACTTTGTCATCTTTAATTGTGAAACTCTATGGTAATTTGTGAGTGCGTGCGATACTTTCGCAAGTCATTGTCCCGCGTGCAGGAGCTGAAAGCTTCTATGGAGAACCATGGTGCTGATGCTCCTGTGGTCGGGAAAGGTGAGGGAGTTGGGTATTGTGCAAGGCCGGTTCCCACACCTGTGCGCAACGGCACAGATATGGGTCCAACTGCTTGCCTGATTCCTGAAGACTCTGATGGTTTTGGTTTCGATCCAACTGCTGACACCATTCCTGGTGACCTTGTTGGTGCTGGTGTGGATTCGGAGGTCCCTTGCTTCCAATTGTTTCTGGACCATCTTGTGTAGCATTAATGTTGTTTCACATTATTCACTGGTGTTGCTTGATTTGCTCAGGTCAATTCAGCTGATGCAGCCGGTCCACCTGTGGACCCTCGGTGTTATTATTCCGCTGAGGCTCTATAATGTTGCATGTGAACCTGGAATGTCAAGGGTTGAAGAATTGGCTCCATGTAGCCAATATGGTTCTACTGGAATGACGTGTGGGTTTCGACTGGTGGTGTATGAACAACACATGCATGAAATCCTTTTGGGTTATCTTAGGATGAGAGGAACGACGAGATGCTCGCCCATATCGATGGTCTATTCCATGCAATTCCTGGGCCACATCATGACGCAAATGTTCCTGAGGAGATACAAGACTTGCCTGATAGTGCGATCCAGGATCCATATCAGGTCTATGAATCAAACCATATATTGTTCTGCTTGGCAAATGCTGTGTAAGTTATTTATTTTTTGGGGGGTTGGACATTGACAGATTGTTAACTTGCCTGCTGGCTGGCAGGTGCTGGAGACAGAAGAAACTGATATCATTAGCGATGAAATGGTGACACAGCTTCTGCAGGCATGCGTGTTTGTTTAGCAAGAAGGCAGGCATCCTTCACTCCCAAATGCCATTTGAATGCCTTGTGCCAGGCCAGTAGCGAGTCCAAGCCTGAGCAGCCTCAGGTCACTATAAAAGTCTCTGACAACGACATGAAGAAGATCCGTCGTTTGTTGGCGCCACGCGCGAACGGGAGACTACTGGTTCCACAAGAAATTGTAGAACAGTTTCAAGATCTTGAGACTGGTGGGCGGGATGCTGTGTTGACTATGTGGGCAAAATGCTCTGGGAATAAGGACCACATCACATGTGGAGTAACATAGCAAACATTATACTATACTATATACATCTATACACCAACCGCTGCCGATCCATCCTCCATCCAGCAGCCTGCATTTCCAGGAAGCTTTCATCAAGCGATGCAAGCGACGTGTGGAGGCTGTGAAGGAGCAGGACCTTTGGGTTGATGGGTGCTTCATGTCAGAGCAAGATATGGTTGATGAAGGATTTCCTCCGTGTTTTGGCTAATGATTGATATCTTCATTCACCATGGCTGGTTTGTTTGATGCAAAAGCATTGATTAACATGATCGGGCCACAATTGCTTAACTTTGCATTATGGTGGTGGATGTTCCATGAACAAGCTTCCTTTATTGCCTGCCTAAGGGGGGCGCATCAAATCCATAAAGGCTGACTGCGCAAAAGGTGAGGGGTTGAAACGGCGACTTAACAGCACGTTGGGTTTGTCCTTTGATATTTGTGAACTTCGACTGCTATTGCTTTTGAATTACGTTGAGTCTTTTGAACCATTCGAGGAGGGACCGATATGAAAAGCACATTGAGCTGTTTTGGGTCGAGAAGAACATTGCTGGCAGAAATCTGATACTAGGTTGTGCACAGTTGTGTTTGCATGCCTGCATATATTTGCAGTCTGGTGCAGAACTTGCAATCAAACACAAGGTCACAAGGTTTGAGAAATCTGTGATACTTATTGAGTTTTATCAGGAAGAGAAAGCGGGAGGTCCTTGAGGAAGAGGAGAGCATGAGTGAGTCTGAGTTTGAAAAGCTCAAGGACAAGGACGATGGAATGCCGGACAACTTTGAGCTTCAAAAGGAATCTCTAGGCCTGGTCTCAGTGTTTCCCTGGTTTTCCTGCATGCATGCATATATAAGCTGCTGCTCTGGGTGTATATCAGAAACTATCCCTGCTAGAACCTTCAACCATTGTAGACGCGGACGGGAAGAATGATGCGGAGAAGATTGCAAAATCTATTACTTGGCCTGCCATGGACGATGATGCACTCCCATCATCCTACATCATGCGTGTGCTTACATGTGTGTCAAAATGGTCAGTTAAAATGGTGGGTTTGACAGACATGATTGCATCCTTGGAGAAGACTTCTGACAGCCTAACCCAGTTCCATGATCTCATATGTAAGACGTTTGGTATTCCAGTTTGCGCGCCTGTGTGCTTGTCTGTGTGTGTCGAAGTTTTGTGCGTGATGTTGAAAGAACAATATGCAGGACAAACACAACCAAGGTTGTCAGGCCGTGCAAAAGATATCCATGCTGAGTTGGAATCACTCACGGAGAAAATTGGGAACCTGAACGCGAGTGGCATTATGACTGGCTTTCATGCGGCGCAGCTAAGACCAAACCTATGAGTCAAGTTTGACTGCTATAGTCTGTATTGTAAACAGAGTGATTCATCATTCATGTTTTTTCTTCCCTCTCTTAGGCAACAGGATGAGCTCAAGAAACTCTTCACTGCATCCAAAGAGAAGTGCCCTGTCAAATTGCAAATGTATTCACTTCTCTGAGCATTGCTGGTCCTTTTCTTGCATTGATGTGCGTGTCCAGAAGTGCATCTGTCAGGTGATCTATTTTTAGTACACACTTATGGGTCACATGGTTAATCA